TGGTGAGTGGGCGGTGGGTGGTGGGTGGGCGGCGGGTGGGAACCGTCGCTGCCTCGTAGATCCCTTACGGAACCACTGCGCGGTGACCACCAACACACACATACATACACACATACATACACACATACATACACACATACATACACACATACATACACACACCCTGCCCACAGCCTTACCCGGGTTTGGGGCCACCACAGGCCGGTGTGGCGGTGGTGGCGATGATTGTGCAGACCAGCTTTCTCCGGGCTGAAGGTCGCAACTCCCAAAGACCCAAACCTAACCCCCCTTCTTTACTCCCTCCTCCCCCCATGAACACACACACACACACACACACACGCACTCAGCTACGTGACGGAGCGGCGGCTGCCCGACAGCGCCATAGACCTGATGGACGAGGCGGCGGCTCTGGTGGTGCTAAACTCCAGGAGGGGCCCAGCGGCGGAGGCTAGGGCTGGCGGCGCCGCTAAGGGACCCACCAACAACACCAACTCCAACACCGCCCTGGAAGCAGGGGCTGCGGCCGTACATACACCGCAGCCACCGCCCCCTCCCCACCATCCCCCCGACCCCCACACCCGGGCTTCACGGGTTCTCCCACGAGCCCCCACGGAGCTTCATTGCCACGAGGATCTCGTCCCACAGCAGGGGCGTGGGGGGGAGAGGGAGGGGGAGAGGGCGGGGGGGCCGGCCGCAGGGCCCTGGGGCCTGCCGGTACCCGGGGTGAGGGGTGAGGGGGGAAGAGCGGAAGGGGGCCAGTCGGGGGCCTCAGGGACTATCTTGACGGACCCGCAAGTGGGGAAACACGCGCCGCCGCACCGCCCGCACCTGGCGCTGCGACAGCAGGGCGGCAGCGGGTGTGAGAGCGGCGGGAGCAGCATGTACGGCTGGGTCTCCCCCACCAGCGGCTTCATCCAGCTGGAGGAGGAGCTCCGTCGCGCGGTGGGGGCGGACGCGGCCCGGGGGCTGCGGCCGTTGGAGCCCGCCCCGCCCCGCGGGCCACCACCCGGCACCAGCGGGGACAGGGGGGAGGAGGGGGGCCCTGGGGCAGTCGCACGGGTCGGTCCCTGCGATTCATGGGACAGCTCGGTCATCAATCCCAGGGGTTTCGGAGGCAGCGCCTGCGGTGGCGGCAGTGACGTGGCTTGCGACGATAATGGGGGCAGATGTTCCGGACTCACGGATCCGCCGGCTGTAGCGGCGGCTGCTGGTCCCGGGTCTGCTGCTCCCGAGTGGCGCCGCTGGGTGAGCTCTCAGGGCCGGCAGTCCAGGGAGGAGGTCCGGCAGCAGCAGCTGCTGGAGTGGTTCGGAGCGACACCCGCACAGGCCAAGGGGGGCGTGGAGGGTGCGAGGGGCGGGAAGGGGGGAGAGAGGCGGGGAGGGAAGGAGGGGGAGGGAAGGAGGGGGAGGGAAGGAGGGGGACGAGGGACATGTTGGTGTTGGTCAACATGGACTAGGCCCCAGGAGGGAAGGGGAGGGAACCGTGACCTCCTGTCTTACCATTGTCGAGGAGCACTGTTGACGAAATTGGATCGAGTCTGTCAGCCAGGATGGGCACCGGAGTTATGTGGACCCGGTCCATCACCCGGTGGCAGCGCCCCCACATCCCCCCCCCACACACACTCCCGAGCGGGTGAGGGGGTGAGGGGGTGAGGGGGGGTTCGCAGCCACCACCGGGAGCGCGGGAGGACCCGGATCCCACCCTAAACCCGCCGCACACGCAGGTCAACTAGAAATGGTCCGGGAGCGGCGACGGCGCCACGCAGAGCTCTTCGGAGGCTCGCCCGGCAGCAGCAGCTCCGTTGACGGGGCCGCCGGGGAGCCGGCATGGGATGAGGACTCGGCGCTAGCAGCAGAGCGCGCTCAGCCCAAGGCCTGTCCCCATTGCGGCACCTCCGTCCCCACCCAGCCGGGTGAGGGGGTGGGGGGCGCCGTTCTAGGGGTCCGACGATTAGGACGCCACCGACACCGTAAACCCATCCCACTCACATCCCTACGCGCGTACAAGCTCCCATCCCCATC